CAGTATTACTTTTTTAAAAGGCTTTATTGGCTCTAGTGACCTTTATTTGATAGTTAATTGACAGGAAAGTTGGTAATAAGAGATGGGGAAAGACATACGGCAAAGGTAACTAGGCCGAAAATTGAACCTGTGACAGCTTCGTTGAGGACTAAGGCCTCCATACATGGGTTGTGCTTAACCCCTGTGCCACCACAGCACACCCAGTATTACTTTATTCTTATGTAATATTCTAGTCTTACATGTCTTGTTTCCTTCAGTTGTAAGCAAACTCTCATAAATCATCATAATAAATGGAAATAAAGACTTGAAAATGTCGGTTATTTTAAACAACTTTTCATTCAACTCAGTATTTATGATAAAAAATGAAAAAGAAATCTTTCAGTAAATATCAGAACAATGTAAAGCTGTATCAATTTTTAAATCACACCTATTTGACATTTGTCAAAAAGTAGTCAATAGAATTTTTATGGAACAACAGAAGTCAAACTCTGTTAATTTCTGAACCTAGGATGAAGAACAGTTTGGGAATATAATCCCAAACACTGCAGCAAATCTACAACAGAATGACTGAAAATGAAAATAAAGCTTTATCCATCCATCCATTGTCTATATCCACTTATCCTTGTAGGCTTGCAGGTGGTTAGTGCCTATCGCCGCTGGTTGTTGGGTGAAATCTATATTTTCTATAATAAAACAGTAATCTATGATGGATAAAAAAAATAAAATAAAATAAAAATAAATAAATTAAAAAAAACTTTTTAATTGAATTAATCAGCTCTTTCTTAATGAATAACCAACCGTTTTCTGGTGTCACTGGGAGAAACAGAACAGATATCTTTAAAATGTCAGCTATCATTTAAAAATACCGTCTGACCCATGCATTGGTGCTGATGATCTGTAATGATTCATCAGTGCGTCAGCAGGAGTCCCACTCACAACAATCAGATCCCGTCCACCTCTCTGGACCTGAACAGCATCACTGCCCAGCAGGAAATCAGCTGGTCAGAGTCCTGCCACTACCTGCTTCCAGTTATAAACAGCATGGTGAAAGTGGAGATGCTTATTCTGCAAATTTCAATCAGCCACTCTGGTCGTATGTTTCTCCTGTGTGTCTGCCATTTGCTTTTCCTTTGGGGCTGGGCTGGTTGTGATGAGGGAAGCTGGGAGCAGCTGGCTGCAGGGGAAGGTGTGAGGCTCGGGGGAGGCATCGAGTGGGATCTGCATTCTGCAGAGCACGATGAAGGAGTGCTGGCTGTTCTTAGACTGCGGTCATAATTTCAGGATTCTAACTGATAGTGTCCAATTTTCTGAGCTCTGACGATCTTTTAACATACATGCTGGAGTTGCTTCTCTCAGCCTGCTGCACTCGCATCGATTCACCTGACAAATCAAAATGTTTTTTTAAAAGCAAGCAATGACTAAAGTCACAAAAAGCAAGAGTACTATGATGACACCTTGCCAACGTAAAAGTGGAGTCAATTCATCACAGCAGCCCAGTCAATATCTTAGCTGAAAACATCAAGCAGCTTTCAGAATTCTTCTTCTCAGTTTATCTGATGGCAGTGGAATGATCTGAAGCAGAATCTGGGTGAACAATGTGATCAGGTCAGTTTGTAGCAAAAAGCAGATTATTTTCCAGATTTATTTCCACTGTTCACCAAATACGAAAAAAATAAGAATCAGAGGGACACATCTTTGAAGTTCTGTAAAGTTTGTTCTGTGCACCTACAATATCTCCACATCTTAACTGAAAAAAAATATTAACATTCATTCATAGACTTTAAAAATTTACATGAGACATTTTTAACTTGTGATTCCTGGTTCACCAGGAATATACCTGTTTCTATGTCATAAAGAAAAAGCCCTCTTCACTGCTATCATACACAAAGGTGCAGGTTTGGATTCCATGTGACATCTAAATATGCATTTCAGATGAAATATACACCTACAGTTACTCATGCATGGCAGGAAAGCAACAGGACCCCACACTAATGTGGGTTTGAGAGGGAAAGTGATGCTGGCTGGTTGTGTAAGAGTGGAGGAGGATGAGGTGGAGAATCACATCAACACAATGTGTGAATAAATATCTGTGGCATATTCTACCTTCTCCCTGCTGTAAAAAAAAGTGGTTTTTATCATTTATTGTCTATGTAAATTTGAGGTGATATTAGGTTGTTGCAGATTAACTATTAATTCATAATACTGTGTAGTAGAGAAATGGTACATGTTTTTAATTTAGACAGTATTGTGTCTAATGTTCAGGATTATTAACAAAAATGGAACTTGTTATGATTTTCTTTTGGAATTGTTTTTTTTTTTCTTGCCTCTGCTCCATGAAGACCAGATTATATGAGTGTTCCTATCAACAGGCTCTTCCACTGTTAACATGGGACGTTTGGCTCTTTCTCTGATGAATAGTTCATTTGGTTCAGCTGGCTGGGCGTGATGGTAGCTCTCCTAGAGTGAACTAAAGTTTTGTATAAGCCGTGTATCAACACTGCCAGTCGTCATGTTGTCCGAAGTTTCAATTAGTGGGTTGGCCATTTACTGCCTGTCTTCTCCTTTGTTTCTGTTACTGTTGAGTAAAGACAACCACAAAAAACTACTGAAAATTTTAAAAATCACTATAAAATTATGCACTAAGTTATGTTGGTCGCATGACAAAAACAGACAATGAAACGAAATGTGGTAAAATATAAAAAAAATGTGCATAGGATTGTGAACATTACAAGTACTGTAAACTGTGGGCTAACAGAGACTGTGAACAAGCAGTGGCTCTACTTATACATAAATCTGGATTACAGCTGAATGAACAAAAGCATCATTCTGTGTAAATCTTTTGGAACAACTGGATTCCTTGTTTCTTTCTCTTTTTTATCGAACAGCATCAATGCAGTAGAAAAATACAGACAGGTAAAAGTAATAGCAGCCAAGCATTGAAAGCTTCCAAGGCTGTCATAAAATTGTTGGATGGAATTGATGACATGCCAACTAAAACAGCAGGAGGTGATGCATTTTAAACGGGTGCAATCATCTTAGATTGGACACTTTGTCAACAATGTAGAATCTGGCCATTTGCAGAAGCTTGGCTGAAAACAACAATCAATAGGATTTTAAAAACAAAGAGAAAATAAGAATGCTTAGCCGTAACAGCAAGGGTGTGTATGCAGACGTGTGCGTGTGTGTGTGTTTGCGTGTGTGTGTGTGAGACTCACAGGCTCTGTCGTAGCTCTGTTGTATCTCTGGAAGTACCGAGTGACTGAAGATTTTTCTCCAAGGTGACAACTGAAGAAACAAATGCATGAAACAAACTTTTGAGGACATCAAAGGATCTCACACACACTTCCAGACACTTTAAGAATCAGTTAGGCAAGCTTAATATTTTTAAAGAATACATTGGAATTGTTTCAAAATGACCACTTTGTTTTAGTAATGTTAATAATCACAAAATCATCCTGTCAATAAATATCCACAGAATAAAATTTAAATCCATTGTTGTGTTCTAATAGAATAATGAGTGTACGGTAGCCAGTCAATCCAGACTACCGTAAGAATGGGAGCTGGGGAAAATACCATTATTTCATAATACAGGAAATTTAGGGCAAAATACTGATACAGGAGCACTGCAGGTAAGAGGGGTAAAATACATAAAATACGTACCATTTCTTTCCCTTCATGCTGATTGGCTTAAACTAGGCAACTCTTGGAGTCTGAAGTATTAGCAGATTTTTTCTACTTGCAGCTGTGGTCACTGTGTTCCTTAAATTAAACATTAATGCTTTACTTCAGATTATTGTTTTTATTTATTTGTTTTTTATGTTTGTTTTTTTTTTTAAGAAAAGTACACAATTTCTTAAAGTTTGTCAATGAGGATCAATAATTACTTCCAGCTAAATAAGTTCCTAGTCTTGGAGGGGTATGAGTCAAGGTCAATAAAAACTCTCAAAGAGGAGACATTTACAAAGTACATAAAACGTAGAGTTTAAAGAAGCGTGTGTTTTCATGTCACCCACACACATTCAAACCACAACAAGTTTAGGTGGTGAGTCATGACTCTACCATTGCCGTTGATCTGGAAAATATTGGAGGAGGCTTCTTGAAACACATCTTGTAGTTCTGAAGGGCTGACCTGTGTGGCTTTGAAGAAAAAACAGTTTGAGAAAGGCAACATCTTAAAACATGTACAGCACTGCAAAAATCACTGCGCATTATCAAGGTTTACAACTATCTGGTTGTTTGTTCAGAGACACCAGAATGACAGATCTTATGGCATCTTCCTCAAGTGATAATGGAGATGGATTGACAAAAATGTCTCATTTGCATTGTTTAACAATAAGACGTGTTTTTTCTCTAGAATCATCACAATATGAACATAATTAATACAAATTTAAACAGAGCCTAAACAGTAATAAGCACCACAGGACTCTTCATAGTAGCAGACATGTGACTCTAGTCTGTTATCAAAAGCCCTGTTTATATATACATGAAAGTAAGAAGTTCTGCAGCCACGCTATGAAGCTCCTCTTATCTGCATTTTAGCCAGAAAATGAAACCAGCCTTATATAAGCAGGTACAAGCTTCAGCTGTTCGTGACTAATCCAACCGTTCTGCTGCTGCCCTAATTACTGATACTAATGCATATTAGAATACAACAGTAATGGTCAGGTACAGTTTGTATTCTAAATATGCAATTCAGCAGTAGTAGTATTTTAAAATGATGTTTCTTATTCATTTTTTAAAATATCTTTTTTTCAGGAGCAGAGCTTCTATCTAGGGAAGGGACAGACTCAGTTGTTAGTGTTGTTGCCTGGCAGCAAGAAGTTCCTGGGATCAAATCATGGCCAAGGCCTTTCCGCATACTCTCCCCTGTGTGTGTGGGTGGGCTCCCTCTGCACTTTGTGCAAATTATTCTATATGAAATCTTGCTTAACAAAGTTGATAGAAATTATCTAAAATATAGCTTCACATTTTTGCTAATGTCATCTCTGGACCGTATTTTATCAACTTAGAAATGTTTGTCTTGATATGAAATTTAGGAACTTCTCTTTCCCTGCAATGAATCTAAATATTGAAATAATAGAGATATGAATCAAGTGTACAATGACTTAGAGAGGCATGTAAATATCAAGTGACAATGAGTGAAAATTAATGATGGGGATGGAAGTCAGCAACATTAAAATATTTGAAGTGTATTAAATTGAACTCTGTGAGTTATCAAAAATATTAGCTTAATCTAAACCTTTAACGTCAACTATGTTAGACTCAATCCCAACCAAAATTATTTAAGGAAGTGTTCTTTTTGATCACTTTCCCAATTTCTGATATGATTAACCTAGCCACAGTAAATACATCATACTACACGCCACACAGTCATTAAACCTTTATGTAAGAAATCTTCTCTTGCTCAAGATGCTTTGGTAAATTACATACCTATATCTAATCTTCCTTTATTTTATGAAATTCTTGAGAAAATAGTTACTCATCAACTGTGCGAGCATCTAAATGTTAATGACGGCTTTGAAGAGCTTCAGTCATGTTTCAGAGCTGATGAACTCTAGTGAAAGTTACTTGGGCCAGTTCTCTTTACTTCTATTCTATATAGCATATATTCTATTCATTTACATATTCTATATGTTTCCTATTGGTAAAATTACAGACATCATATGATAATTATCTATTGCTATAGTGATGATACACAAGTATATTCTTCCATAAATCATGTTGAATCTAATTAGTTAGGTAGGTTACATCTTGAAGACATATAAACCTAAATGACTTTAAATTTTCTGTTTTTAAATTAAGACAAAACAGAAGTTGTCATGTTTGAACCAAAATGAAACCACTTAGCAGGTCTCTTAATTTGAATGGCATTATATTGACCTCAATTATTAAAGTAAGACATGCTGTTGTTATATTTGACCTACTTTTAAATCTGGGCTTAAAACTAATAGATTTTGTTGAAAACTTTATTCATTTTGGTAAAGCTTGTATTTAGAGATATACACTTGGTTATCCTGAGCTAATTTTATAGCTATACTGATATAGACTTAGGTTGCTGGAGAACAAAATGGCCACATTTTCATTTTCTCACTTTTGCGCATTCTCCTTCCCCTCTTAAACTTTGTATTATTTGCTATTTTTTCATTGTTTGGTGTTATCTTCTCTCAGTGTTGAAGCTACCGCTGGCCTAGGATTCTGTTGAGCTGTGACACTTTCTGGATGGGGCCATCGGCTGAACTATGCAGCACATAACTTGATGTTCTCCCTTAATTGTCTATGCGCAAAGCACCCTGTGATTATTTTTTTTTGAGAATTTACCCTACATAGAGCTATTGTTCCAAAATGAATATGGAGCATGTATATTACAATGAATAATGGGCATGGAAGACCACCTCTGATGAAGAGTCTCTTTGCAGTAATGATCATGCAACAGACAGAGTCATTAGGTTGGAATCTGTGGGCTGGATTCTTCTTGTTCAGAAGAACGTCATGGCTAAATGACAGGTGGGTTGGATGTGGGGTTAATGGTCTGAAGCTGCAATACATATCATGACCCTCATAAGCTCCATGCAAAAACACACCAACCCACATTTTAAGCAAATACTGCAAACTATTAACTGCTCAAAATAATCTTCATTCTGATATCATCATGAGTGCATATCTACAAAATGATAGACATGTTAAAATACTCAACAGTGTGAAAAGAAAGAAGGTAGTAAATGTTAGTGTGTCATTGAGGCAGGCAGGCAAAAGTCAAACATAAAAAAGACATTTGAAAAGTACTTGTGCGAGTACCGTGACATTCTGACTGAACATCATTAACTTCACATCCACAATAAACTCTTCAGGTACTGCAGAGTACCTGAAGATCTGATAACTGTTACAATGTAATGATATACATACAAAAAGGTTTGTTTTCCAACTGAAAAACACTGATATTAAATCAGAATGACCACACGTTTAACATAAAGCTCATCCATCTTCCATTTATGTTTCTCCTATAAGATAAATAACACTACGCAACAGATGCCAGATAATAAAAATTGATAATAATGTATCTGTGATTACATCTGCTGCTACATTCCCTGTGCTGTAAAATAAAGTTCAATTATTTATTCTGTTAACTGTGAGAAATTCAGGAGGTTTTCTTAACCAGAAAAAAATTATCTTCAACAGTATAAAAGCTATTCTGGCCTAAAGATCAACACTGTTTAAATCAGTAATAATCATAACTGGAAGTCTTTGTCAAAAATAGATGCATGGACAAAAATACATGTACAACCAAAAGTTATGTATGATTAAGACATTAAATTGATAAAATTTGGCAACAATGACAGAACTACTTTGATCATAAAGATTTCCTGTATTTTCTGGCTGACTAACATTTGGTAAAACTGAGCAAGAGGGAATACAATATCCTGTTTTCCCACAAAATAAGCAGCAAAGAATTATACTCGTTCCTTCAGAACTCAAAGTTCTGTCTTCTGTCACTTTTGGATTCTCAACCTCTTAAAGGTTAAAAAGAGAAACATATCATTTGTTTTTGGTATCTATACAGCATTTTTAAAACTCAAACTATTGTATTTACTTGACAGTGGAATAAAATGCACTCTGTGCCTGAAAAAACAGACAAACGTAGTTCTTCCCCTTTAACAAAAATATTACATAAATAACTCAATTAAAAATAACTGATTGTCTAATCACATTTGATAACAAAGCATTAACTATTATTTATGTTTTAGTAAATAAAATCAAAAGAAAGAAAAATGTAATATTCACAGATAAATTAATCAGAGCAAGTGTTTGCAGAGGAAAAGTGAATAAATAAAGAAAGCTGTGAAGTATATTCTTACTTAGCATATCTAAAATTGCTAATGAGAAACTGCAGTGAACTGATTATAGGTGATGATCATCAGTAAAGTTAGCTTCTCTCTCTCTTTTTAAAAGAACAGAATAATCAAAGCAAAGTGTCTTCATGTCTTGTTCTGAACTGGGCGACAGCCCCGCCATGCTGGGGATAAATTATCATCAATGCCATGTTTCACACAATCTGCAACCTGTACAATTATACTCTCAAATCAGAGAGGAGTCTAATCAGTAGCTCCCATCTCATTATAGTCTGGGTCACTGGTTGTCTCCTCACTGATCAGACATTTTTATTGTCCTAAAAAGTTCAATCCAGTCTCTGAGGTAAAGTGGCTCCAAAGGCTTGTCTGTAATAGTGATGGTCTAGACTGCACATCATAACACGGGATGTCGCTCAGATGCATCTGCCCATACATTTGAGGAAACATCTTTGCAGATCTTTTATGTGCTCCATTTCTCTGGAGTTTCCCCAGAAAACATGACTGGCTGTATTTGGACTGACGGAACCAGGAACTACTTAGACAAATTCTACTTGAAATCTACCAGAAAACTACCCTGAAAGAAACACAAGATTTGTAAGGTTCAGAAGGTTATTGTGTTTTTCCTTGGAGATAATCAGTGCCATTTCAGTAAGACAAACACTTTTAACACATCTGCCTCTTATAGTTACGACAGACGTACAAATTTATCTAAACTCATGCACTGTTTTACCTGTGGTATTGATATGACGATTTTTAGAGTCCCCTGATCTGTGTGTGTCACAGCAAACATGCAGTATAAATGAGGTTAAATGAGGTTTGCCAGAAAGTAAACTTTGAAATGAAATAACCTGATCTTTACCTAGTAACCACACAATAAACTACCATCATTCTCTAAAAACCCAGAGCCTCCAAGCAGAATTCACAGAAAGCATCAACAGTTTAATCTGCAACTGTTTTTGAATGCCTGAAGTCATCAGGCAATCAGAAGGGCAGCAGTCGTTCACCCAGGACGTAATGTTGGGATCTACAAGGCAAACTCAAGCTGAGGTTAACACAGCTGTGTATTATGATGCAGGGCCACATAAGCTTGGATCAATGGTATCTCAGTTGGTCCATTAATCTGAGCGTGGGTGTCTGACACGTGGCCCACTTTGGCCACTTACTGCCCATCAGCAGAGCATGGAGCTGAAGGAGCAAGCGTTCATCACAGCTTTGTCACATCCAGCCCAGCCTCGTGCTTCATTACAGCTTAATAAAGCAGACCCACATTTCCTGGGTGCTCATCAAAGG